TGGTCCGGAGCCTGGGGAAAGGGTTGGGCTAGCATGGAACCCTGCCGGCACTGGAACGGGACCTGCTCTTCATCCTGGAGCATGTCCGAAATAACCACCGGGAAGAGCCAGGAATGGAGATGCCCCTCCTGGAGGTTTCCTCCCCTGGGAGAAGGTCCGTGCAGCTCTGCACACGGGCTGAGCTCGGCGCGGCCATCTGGGCGCTCGGGATCTCTGGGCACCGGAGGTGAAGACAGAGCTGGTAAAAGTGCCAATGCCGGGAACAGCCTCATGTCCTGCCTGTAAAAAAAAAATCGTGCCATGCTTTGCAGGTCCCTGCAGCTTTTTGTACAGCTATGGGGCCCAGAGCTCTGCAGGTTCCTATAGCTCCATCCCATGAGAGAGCAGAGAGCACAGCCCTGCAGACCCCAAGGCACTGTGGACCTCTGAGGACATCAGGATGGAATGGGGTGTGGGGAGCCATGGGGACATGGCAGTGCAGGACAGGCACACAGTACCCACACCCTGCTGAAGTTGTCCTGATTTTTGTTCCCTCTGGCTGGAAGATGACATGAACAAAATGTATGGGCTACTCCTCTCCTTGGGGGACCTGCCTTCCTGCATTACCTCATGTTGCTCTTAGATCTTGCGTGTCTTGCTTCCCCCTCCCTGCTTCCTCCTTTTTTTTGGCTCTGCACATCACCCTGCTGAGGTGGGACAGCTGGGCAAGCTAGTGGTTAGGACACTCCGTGGGCAGCGTCTTTCTGGCTCTTTTTCCCATGGCTGTTGGGGATGAATTTGACAGATGAGGGATCAAAACGTGGCCTGACAACAAGAGTCTCTGTCTCTCCTGTTGCTGGGCCCCTTAATGTTCCCCGTATGTCCCTCTCAGTTCCAGCAGGAAAGACCCCTCCAGGTGACCCTAATTGGCTCAGCAAGGACTGCTGCCACTCCAGCCCTCGCCTCCCTTCCTGCCCACACTTACCAGCCATGTTTTGCAAAGTCTTTACCAAAGGTTTACCAAAGGTTCTGACAACTTTTTAAACCGGGCCCTGGCACTGAAGTCAGCGAGCATCCGTAGAGGGGGGGTGTGGGGGGGTGTGTGTGTGGGCGGGGGTGTGTGTGGGTGTGTGTGGGGGTGTGTGTGGGTGTGTGTGTACTCCCTGTGCCTGTTGAGGGCCGCGGGTCTGAGCCAGCTGGCTGGCAGTGGGATGTGAGAAACACCAGCACTGGGCATCTTCAGAGTGCTGCTGTTGAAGTGCTGTTGTGGCAGCGGTGTTGAAACTCTCAACACTCTTCTCTGCCACATCTACACCATCTCTCTGGTCATCCATGGCACAAGCACTGACATGAAAACATGTATCTGCTCATGCTCCTGTTGTGGGGCTGGGTGGAGGCAGGCAGGGGCAGTTTTTCTCCCTTGTGACAGGTTAATGAGGCAGTGGCACTGCCCACCCAGCTTGCTGTGAAACCTGGGCAGCAGTATTGCCAGCACCTGGGGGAACAAATATGTTTTGTCCTGTGGTAGTGGAGTTGCTGGGCTTCTTCTGGGAAGCAGATAGGAGACTTTTTGGGCATGAAGGTGCAAGTCCACTAGTGTATCCTCACTGCAGGCACTGTGGCCGTGAGCTGCAAGGCAGAATCTTGCAGTGATGCTGTCCCAGGGTGTGCACACATTATAGAGAAGGTTTGCACACACGTGTGTTGAAACTCTCAACACTCTTCTCTGCCACATCTACACCATCTCTCTGGTCATCCATGGCACAAGCACTGACATGAAAACATGTATCTGCTCATGCTCCTGTTTTGGGGCTGGGTGGAGGCAGGCAGGGGCAGTTTTTCTCCCTTGTGACAGGTTAATGAGGCAGTGGCACTGCCCACCCAGCTTGCTGTGAAACCTGGGCAGCAGTATTGCCAGCACCTGGGGTAACAAATATGTTTTGTCCTGTGGTAGTGGAGTTGCTGGGCTTCTTCTGGGAAGCAGATAGGAGACTTTTTGGGCATGAAGGTGCAAGTCCACTAGTGTATCCTCACTGCAGGCACTGTGGCCGTGAGCTGCAAGGCAGAATCTTGCAGTGATGCTGTCCCAGGGTGTGCACACATTATAGAGAAGGTTTGCACACACGTGCCTGTGTCCTTTCTGGACAAAGTTTGTCAGCCAGACAATTTAGCACTAATCCTCAGTCCTAAAAGGTACCTTATCTATGTAAAGTAGCAAAGAGAATTCCCCCATATGCTATAATTTTGTCTGAACAGCAACAGAGTATCACAATGGATGCCTCCAGCAAGACAGTATTAATATTCTCTGATACGTGCTGGCCTCTGCAGCAGACCTTGTGTCCCTTGCAAAGCCCAGTGGGGCTCTCAGTGCACTTGACAGTTATTATGCCACATCCACATGCAGAGATAATCCCTCCTTAGTTGGGCATTTTTCTAATTTAGTGAGAAATCATTACAGCAAATGCTCAGAGTGTCATTTTCAAGGACTCTGAGGTTGGGCAAATTAAAGTCATTTTGCTGTGGGAAGAGTGTGGGCACCTCTGCTAAAGAGAATGTCATACCACACCAATTTTCAACTTCTATCTCTAACCACTTTGACAGCAAATTTCTCAAAGTTATTTAAGCATTTTAGCATCCAAAATGCCCAGTGTTTCCTGATTGTGAAGGGAACCGCATTTGCAAATCCACAAAGAGACCTTAAATATTTCCCAGCACACACTTTTTGGACTGTATTTCTATCTAGCAGATGAATTATTTCTGCCCTAGCATGCAAAAAGGAGACCCTTTGGATGTTGTGGAGGCTTTAAAGACTGTGTCTGAAAGTGAAGGCAGCTGTCCTGGCAGGGGAAGGAGGACCTTCCTGGAAGAGGATGATATTAGTGCTCAGGGCTCCCCTTTCCACCTGTCCCACACCCCATCCCACTGCATATGCAGTCATTCTCCTTTCATCAGTATAGGCAGAAAATGTGAATATGAGAAATGCTAAGCACCTGGAAAAAGCAAATATTTGGAATGAGGAAACTTTAAACAGTAAATTCTGTGATTCTAGTGGACGAGGTTGTGGGGGTTTTTTTGTGGATGCATTTTTGGTGGGGTTTGGTCCCTAGACCTCATTTCATTCCACACAAAGGACGCATCAAATAAATTTACAATTGAAAGCATGTACTGGTATTTTAAAGGCTGTTGCTCTTAACCACAAAACTAATACTATTAACCCAGGGATTCTCTAATTCACTTTATCTGCAGTTAGCACTTTTGCACGGTGTCAGCCCTGAGCTGGCCCCATGGATCTGGAACAATGTTTGGAGTAAACGGACTGTTTCTGTTTTGCAACAGCATTACATCAGGTGTAGCTGAGTGTTTCTTTCACTCCCGTTTACTTGGAATTAATCTTACCTATGAATTTACTGGGATAACAAAGCTCCATTTTTAATCCTTCTGTTCCTGAGAGAGGCTATGAAATTTGGCTCTGTACTGACGATATCGTTTTGTTTGTCAATGCAATTACTTTAAAGTGTGGGTGGGTGTCAACTAAAGACCAGAAATAAAATGGTTTTAGATTATATTCCTAATGATTTGAAGACAGGTACATCAACAGTAGCTATCTCTCAATTATACTAATTCTGAAAGTGTTTTT